AAATTCAAGGGCCTTTGAGCTTGATCTTGAATCTATATGTGTTTTCCACGAACGATGATCTTGTTCTTGAGCTTGAGCTTGATTGCTTGAACTTGAACTTGATCTTGATTCGTTCTTCGTTCTTGAGCTTGATTTCTTGAACTTGAACTTGATTGCTTGTAGCATGAAATTTGTAGAGAAATTTGCGGCGTTTGATCCACGAGCTCTCTCTTGCTTCTTGTTATAACTCCTGGTGTTTTTTTCTGAGTTATGAAGACCCCTATTTATAGTTGTGGAAGGGAAGAGTTGTGATAAGAACAAACTCTTTCCGACCAATCAAATTGAAGTGTGACATGACTGCATTTGACTGGCCAGAACATGTCACTTGCACACGTGGCGCGATTTCATTGGCTTTTTAGCGTGACTGGACATGCCTTGTCATTTTAACACGTGGCATGGTCCTATTGGCTCTTCCGCTTGACTTGGCGCGCCACGTCATTTGACACGTGGCACCAAACTGGGCCTCCAGGAAGATGACATCTTGGGCTTAATGAAGTGGGCTCATCACTTTAGCCCAATTAAATGGGCTAGCCCAATGGATTAAAACTTATTTATTTAATCCATATATATTGGACTTATATAACTAATTCAATTATATTAGCCCAATAATATTTATTTGGACTAGCATATTAAAATATAGTCCATATTATTTTATCGATTTAAATTCGATAAATTTTAATGCTTACACATATCATTATCTAAAATATTAAATTTTAAAAAGAACTATTTCGCCAGCTTTTTGTGTAACTTGACTAATCTTACCAATTATCTATTCTTTTACTAATATAGATATCAAATAATTCTATTATCAATAAAATTACCTAATATTTGTTGCTTACGTTGAAATTTTTAAGATTGTGTGATTCTTTTTCACTTTATCGATCACTGAAGTGCACCTTTGAATGCAAAATTTAGAATATATATAATATGCTGAAAACAACTTTTACATTACTAATTTAGTTTAATTTATTATAATAACTCCTCCTATTTATTTTATTGTTTAACAATTACCAGATTAAATTCATTATTCCAAGTAAATTACGGTAGATGAAGTTATGCAACACTGTCAATTAAACTTAAATAAATAATAGAAGAGGGGCATAGATATCTGAAACCACGTGTAAACCAGCACGGCATGTTTGGTCCACGTGAGTTCTGGGCCTAAAGAGAAAAAAGGAAGGTGGGCGAGTGGTGATCATTTTATCGGGGAAGTGCACGGTTGGCCGCCAATAACATATGTATTTATTTTTAAGTCACCGTTTAAAATGTCTTTAGCCTTTAGCCACTGCTTTAATAAATTTTAATTATTCGGACGAAAATACCCTTCTGCTCATGTCCTTAACTTCAGGACTTTAGGACTACATGTCCTTAACTTTTGAACGTGGAACTCTAAGTTCAGGACTTCAGGACTATATGTCCTTAACTTTTGAACCTGTAACTCTAAGTTCAGGATTACATGTCCTTAACTTTTGAACTTGGAACTCTAAGTTTAGGACTTCAAGGCTACATGTCCATAACTTTTGAACTTGAAACTCAAACTTCAAGACAAAACGTCCTTAACTTTTGAACTTGTAAGTCAAAGTTAAGGACCTATTGTCCTTAACTTTTGAACTTGTAACTGTAAGTTAAGGACTGGTTGTCCTTAACTTTTGAACGTGTAACTGTAAGTTAAGGACTGTTTGTCCTAAACTTTTGAACTTGGAAATCAAAGTTAAGGATCTATTGTCCTTAACTTTTGAACTTGTAACTGTAAGTTAAGGACTGTATGTCCTTAACTTTTGAACTTGTAGCTATAAGTTAAGGACTGCATGTCCTTAACTTTAGAACTTGTAACTATAAGTTAAGAACTGTCTGTCCTTAAGTTTTGAACTTGTGTCCTTAACTATTGAACTTAACTTTAGGACTTCAAGACTACATTTCCTTGCTACCAAGTACTTGTATTTCATCTGAAGTGACTGGAGGAGTTTTCTGTTCAACATTTTGCGAGACTATTTCTATCTCTGGATCAATATCATAAGGAACTTCTTCGTCACTATCATCATTTGACTCAGAATCCGCAATCTTTGTATTAGCAGCTATTTTCAAAACCAAAAGCATCGTTGTCAATCATAACAGTAGTGAACAAGCGCAAATTAAGACGAAGTCTTTATGTTTTGAATGCATTAGTGTATTTTCGTTTTGGGAGGAAAGGGTAACATGGTCTTTTTATATTATTTTTAATAGATTAGTGGCTACTATTGCTAAGCATTAAAAAAGCTGGATAAAAAGTAAATACCAGCTTAAACAGTGGCTACCCCACGCCATTTCTACCATTTTATCATTGTTACTTGCGGGGCTTTTCTCATTTTGTTAGCCCACGTGAATTCCACCCTTATCTGTCTCCGTCACAGGCGGGATTAGAATTTAAAGTTTATGGATTTAAAAATTTGAGTCTTTTTAAGCTAATAGGTTATATGTTAATAATTTATATATATTCATTAATTTCTTAAAATAAATACAGAATTTGTACCAAAATTACTGGTTTCGTCCGAACCCTTCCGTAAAGCTAGCTCCGCCCTTGGTCTCCTCCCTCCTTCACCCCACTTGCCCCCAACTCTCCTTTTAACCTTGGCTTTAATTTGCATAATCATTTGCCTTGGCTTGGCACTGCCCCCACTCCTCATTAGCTGGCTGACCTCACATAGTTTAATTTGTCAATCATTCTTGAATCGGATTTGCTATTCATTCTTCTCTTTCTAAAAAAAGCAAAATTCAAACTTGCGGTTTAACTTGGATTCTCTTTAAACTAGAATGATATTGCATGCTGAAACTACAAACTTCAAATGATATTTGATATGTACTATAATATATTTAGTTTAAAATCATAAAACTTTATATCCAGTCAAACATAAAAAAATATATTCCCATATTATTTTTTAATATACTACTCCATTTCTTACCTCTATTTATGAAGACAAGAAATGCCATCGCATCATTCATCAAGAGAAAAGGCCACGAAAGCGACTATTTCTTCCATACTCCCACAGAACCTCTTTCTTCTTTTAAACTCGTGGAGGAAAATGGGATGGAGAGATTTTTTTCTTTACAAAAGATAAGAGGGGCCAAATAGGAGATGGTTTTGGGGCCCACTTCAGGTGGGCAATGGGGTTTTGGGGAGTGGCAGTATCGCAAGGAACCAATATTTGTTGAGAGCATAAATAGGGCAAAATTCGCCCCATGATTTGATTTGATAATTGATATGATGGCACTCTAAGAGATTAGGCTGATAATGACATTGAAGTTGAGAGCAGTGTGCTTAATTTCGGATCTTAGAAAATCGAATTAACATGCAGCTAGGCTTGTGCCTAATAATATATTCTAGAATGTGAAGTAAATTGTACGTACAGACCGTTTTCATGATGTACAGAAATGTAACATAGGCGTCCAAAATCTTTTGAGATTTTAAGATTGGCCTTATTTAACTTTATATATTTGAGATTTTGAATAATAAATTTTTAAGGAAAATAACGTTTATGATAACATATCACACATAGAATCCCATTAATGCAGGGATCTACAAGTTCAATATTAAGCGTCCCTAACATCAAAAGACAAAATTATTTCCTTTTGTTTTGTTACAAAAAGAACAAGATGAAGTGAAAAAAAAAAGAGAAAAAGAAATGAAAACATCACAAAAATCTTCTAGTTTTACCCAAAGAGACCTCCTCGTACGAGAGTTCCTATCTTTTTCTTTTTAGCAAAAAATCGCTTTCCTTGGGTGTTAAAAAACAAAAGAAAATAATTCAAAAGACAATGAAAGAAATGCAGTACACCAATTGTTAGTTCGACTTTCGAAGGCAGTCAAAGTTAGAGTCCGTTACTACTTTCTGAAGTTTTATTTGAATTAATTGTGTTTTGGCATTCAAATTATATTTATACATGTAAATTATGTATATGTTGTAAGATTTCTGTGTTCATTTTGAAACCCCCGTGTTCTAAATTCGAATTCATACTGAATTGTGCAAGGAGCTGAGAGTAATTAGTACTCCTTTCATCCAATTTTATATGAGCCGATTCTCAATACGAGAATTAAACTATCTAATTTTTTTTGTGTGGATTCGATTATAAATTTTTTACATTTCTTGAAATAAATTAAAATTAATAAAAAAAAAGTATTATGAGTCACGTGAATAATATTTAAAAAGCACATAAAAATTTTCAATTTAAAAAATATATTAACTCTTCCAATAGTAAATGTATCAAATAAATTGTTACATATTGGGTTAGCTTCAGTAGAATTTGACAAATTAGGCCTAATTCATCGTAAATTAAAATCAGCATCTCGATTATAAATTATCCGATGGAAAATTTGGTCTGTAGAGGAACTAATCAAATGACAGTGCAGTAATCCCAAAATATATTTTCCGCTAGTTTGCGTTTTCACTTTCTTTTTTAAAAAATAAATAAATTAAGAAGCACTGTGAATGATTGGTTTCAAGAGGCAAAAGCTATGAGTTAATGATAACTGGTACCCGCGTACCCCCCTAGTCATGACTCATGATTGACCTAATTGCACAACCCTTCACCTCTGTACACTTCCAACTGTACTTAGGACTATTATTTTCCTTTACAAATAAAAAGAAAAGGAAAAGGCATATATATTCTTCCTATATATAATACCCCTCATTGCACCTCTACTCAACAGGCTTCAAACTACACTCACTCAACTTGTTTCTTTCTCTCTCTCTCTTCTTTAAAAAGACATCTCTATTCATATGAATAGTAGTAATAATTCTCACCTCTTATCGTACCAGAAAAGCTGAAAATCCTCACAAAACTAGTCATCCCACATCTTCTTTAATTTCGGAAGCTGGTGTTATAGTTTTATTTTCAAGAACGTAACCCCCCCGACCCCGAGAGAGAAAAATGGAAGATCTGGGGTTGAGCCTCAGCTTAAGCTTTCCACAGAACAGGANCCGACCCCGAGAGCAGACACATAAAGCTACGGTTTGAGAAAAATGGAAGATCTGGGGTTGAGCCTCAGCTTAAGCTTTCCAGAGAACAGGACAGTTACTCCCGCGCACCTCAATCTCATTCGCAAAACCTCTTGGACTCATTCATTTCCTTCCTCAGGTTTGTTAATTAGCTCTTCCTCATCTATATTTAATGCTTTTCTTCATTTTATAAACTTAATTCAGATCTGATCGATCAAAATCTTAATAACCTTTCTTTGCATACGTAGTATGTAGTAGCAGTAGTAGTACTTTTTTCTTAGCCACTTTTATGCATAAGCATTTCATGCCCCTTTTGCTGTTCTGTCATTTTAATAACCAAAAGTGAAGGAAATTTAATTTTATTAATAAATTGACCTTTTCCCACTTTAAATCTTTTGATATTGATTGCAGATCGGAACTCGGAGACATGCAGAGTGGAGACGAGGACTTTCCTAAAGGGAATCGACGTGAACCGGTTGCCGGCAACGGCGGATACCGAGGAAGAAGCCGGCGTATCTTCTCCGAACAGCACAATTTCAAGCGTGAGTGGCAATAAGCGGAACGAAAGAGAAGCCAACTGTGAGGAGCATGATATGGAAAGGGCTTGCTCTCGAGGCATCAGCGACGAAGAGGACGGAGAAAATTGTAGAAAAAAGCTCCGTTTAACTAAAGAACAGTCCTCCGTTCTTGAAGAAAACTTCAAAGAGCACAGCACCCTCAATCCTGTAAGTTAACTAATTAGTTAGATCATCATTATTAGATACAAATACAATGAGTTCAAGGGCGTTTTGAGGGATTTTAATTATACTTTAACTGGTATTGATGATTTTCTTTTTGTGCAGAAGCAAAAGTTGGCTTTGGCAAAGAGACTGGGATTGAGGGCCCGGCAAGTGGAAGTGTGGTTCCAGAACAGAAGAGCTAGGTGAGATTTTTGTTGAATGATTTAGACAATGATATCAAAGGCGCAATCATAATTAATGATCAAAAGATTAATTGAACAGCATATTAAATGTGAAGCTTGTTGCTTATCGGGGTCTACGTGAGATAACTTTTTTACCTTGCTCGAAGTAGTATAAAAAAGTACGACATGTTAATCTCTCCGGATTTCACTTGTAAGAATACACATTGTACACATTGTCGTTATTGTTGTTCATATTAAATGTGAAAACCAAATCACGCTGATGATTATTCATGAACGTATTATATGGACCGCACATTAAAGCTAGGTGAAAACAGTACTCCACCAAATAAGAAATTAAAACATTCCAACTCTCTTAAGCAAGAAACAATGCTAGACAACTAATTAATTCAGAGTTGCAGTAGGAAATTAATTTTTTTTAGGATTTGCTATTTGTAAGTTATTTAATTCATATCAAAATGAGATTTGTTATTTAATTCATATCAAAATGAGATTTAAAGTCAAATATATATATATATATATGTGTGTGTGTGTGTGTGTGTGTGTGAAGACGTCCGAAGTATTATCGAGATCCTTCAAAGATTTTTAATAAAAGACTTTTCCTTCAAACAATATTACTATCACACAAGAAAACAATCTTTTGACGTCTATATATTACACCATAATATTTACCTAATTAAAAAAATATATTCTGAAAATAATCTTTGTGGATATACAGGACAAAGTTGAAGCAAACTGAAGTAGACTGTGAATTCTTGAAGAGGTGTGTTGAGAATCTGACAGAAGAAAACAGGAGATTACAGAAAGAAGTTCAAGAGCTAAGGGCACTAAAGCTTTCACCTCAATTCTACATGCAAATGACCCCTCCCACCACCCTCACCATGTGCCCTTCATGTGAGCGTGTTGCATCGGGTCCCACAAGTACACCTGGCAATCTTAGACTGGGTCCACCTCAGCAATTAAACCTGTGGGCCACCACTCCCATATCACAAGGGCAATCTGGCCAAATGGACTCTTATCCTACGCTTGCAAGACAAAAGTGACAATGACAAACTGTAATATGAGTACCATAATGTGTAGGGAGGAATAATGGTTTTAGGATAAGGTTGTTGGGCATGTTGGGGATTTGGTGGGTCTAGAAAATCTGTTTGCTTTTATTGCAGACCTTCCATTCCCCCCCCCCCCCCCCTCTTGACTAATTAATTAGGGTTAGTCATTTTACTCTATTTAGTAATAGTTCTATCTTCCCGGGACTGGAGAAGAGGACTTTTTTGTTTGTAAAGTAATGCAATGATCCAAAAAAAAAAGTTTGTTTATTTGTTTCTTGATTTAATATGATTGTTCCTAGAAACTATAGGTTAAGGGAATTAACAAAAAATTCAGAAAATGTAAGGCAAAACGGGAACCACCACACAGGACTTTTCTAATGTTTTTGGAATTTGTTTCCCCATTTCCAGGGTTTTGTGGGCTTTTTCTCTTCGATTGTTGAGGTAAACATAATAAAGCGAGAAATTCAAAAATAGCCAGATTTATAATTGGTCGTTCAAAAATAGTCCAGTTTCAAAAGTAATCGAAATTTAGCTACTTTTCATGTAAAGATAAATTTGAGCGAAAACAGTGTTCAAAACCCGAAAAATACGCCAGTATATTATACTGGAGTTCCAGCATAAGTATGCTTGAACTCCAGCATATTATACTAGAGTTCCAAGATAAGTATGCTGGAACTCCAACATAATATGATGGAGTTCCAGTATAAGTACACTAGAACTCCAGCATAATATACTGGAGTTCCAGCAAGTATAATTGTCCATTATAATATACTGGAGTTTGGAGCACCGGTGCTCCAGTCTCCAGTATATTATACTGGAGTCAGCAAAATATACCGGTCCAGTATAATATGCTGGAGTTCATACACAGGTGCATCGAACTCCAGTATATTATGCTGGACCGGTTTCTATTGCAGCAAAATAGTGACTACTTTTCATTGACTTCGTAAACGCTGGCTATTTTTGAATGACCAGTCCCAAAACTGGCTATACCGCGCTATTTTTACCATAATAAATTCTTAAAGCTGGACAAATACTTAATAAAATTAAAATTAAAAAAAAATTATTTGTAAGATCGAGTATAAAAATCGAAAGCGGAAATAACTTATTCTTAATGGACTAAAATTGAACTTTTTTCCATTTATATGTTTGTGAATGGTCAACTATGGCTGTTAATCACCACTTGAAACAATGGTTATACGTTGTAAGAATTTTGCATTCGCTCTCGGAAACTAGTCGTTTGTTAACTTCAGTTGATTTGTATGCGTTAAGAATATAACTAGCAGTGTATGTGTCACCCATTATTTCATAGTCAGGATCAAACTTAATCACCAACTTGCTATTTCTGCAACAAAAGAGCTAAACATATTAATTATCTTATACTAACAAACAGAAGAAGAAAGCAAGTGAACATATTTTTGTTCGCTTCTTCTATACCAACCACAGAAGTTTAAGGATAGATTTAGCTCTAAAATTTACTTTATACTATGCTCACTTCTAATCACGTTTAAAAATTCAATTTAACTTAAAAGTTAACCAATCAATTGAAATATATAAAATTAGACAGGCCCTAGTCCAAAAACTCAAACGGGGAAGAGCTTGCAACATTAGCCGAGATAGAGTCCAATTACGTACTGGACTGGACAAGCTCAATAGGAGTCTTGTATGAAATTTAAGAAAAAACGGCATGGTATAACAACCTATTAAGAGAAGGGAATTGGTATAAAAAGTCCTGGTTTTAGATATTGGCATCCTATAGCCCAATTTTATATATATATTTTTTTTAATTGGTATATCATAGCCAAATTTATTTTTATTCAAAATCAAAAGTAACATTCAGCACATCCCCCTCTCTCCTTCTTTAACTCTATTCTTCTTTATCTTCTCCAAATTCCAAAATTTTCAAATCCCCCAAATCTCTCTTTTTTTCTCCGATAAAATACTCTATTATGTTTTCTTCTTAATCTTTTTCTCAACTATTTCTCTAAATCAAGAGTCTTTTGTAGAATTTCGACGAGAATATTAGCATTCTTTCCAAGTTGAAAAATGGGTAAAAATTCAATCTCTAAGAAATCAAAATCTAAAGTAACAGTGGTAAAATATTCATCTTTTCATGACTCTGATTTCGAAGTAACGGTGTTAAAGGGGTCGAATTCATCACTTGCAATAGTCGTTCGAAAGGACAATAAGAGAAAAAAACGGGTTGATGCCATGTATACAAAAGACAAAGGAAAAAAAAATAGCAAATGCATCTGCTATACAACAAAAGGTTGCTGTTAAACCCAAAAACAGAAAGCGTGTTAGCACGGAGGAAGTTGAACGTGATAAACATCCTTTGAGGGTTCATTTGGTTGGAATACTATTTATACCGGTATAAATTATGCCGGTATAAGTTATATTGAGATATGCTATGCTGGGATTGTTGTTTATTCATTGTTTGGTATGTTGTATTAAAAATGACAATTGCATAATTTCTAAGAAGAAGGTATAAGTTATACCGGTGCTACTTACCCCACCTTCTATAAGGTATAAGTTATCCCAGTGTTAAAATTAACACCGAGATAACTTATACCTGGTTTGCTAACCAAACAGAGTATTAAGGTGGTATTAAATTTTTATACCACCCTTATACCTTCTTATACCTCATACCGAATGACCCCTGAAGGTTTTTTTTAATCTCAATTGATTTAATGTATTTCATCCGATTTATCCTATACATAGTGTTAGCTATAGTTCTTTTCTTTGTTGAGTGCTACTTGAACAATTAGTCCGGGATCATTTCTACTGCTTAAATAAAGTTATCAACTAAAGTTGTAGTTTCGTACAAAGCGTATTTGAGCATTAGCGTCCTTGCTTAATGTATACTTAGATGTTATGTGAATGTAGAAGTTGAAATAAAAGGTTGGG